TTATAATTGCTTAGAACTTACTTTGAATGTCTTGTAAGATGAGACAACGTAGGACGCACCATCCTCTAGCTCTTCAAGCCTGTACTTCCTGTCACCATCCATGCCGAAAATGAATCGTGCACCCCTCGGCAGCTCCAATCTTTCAGATAATCTATCTAATAAGACGTCTATTGAGACCAGATCTCTACCGGGCTTGAAGCGGAATTCCACACCGGGATGAAAGGGATCCCCATTCCGATAGAACGTCACACGCCTCGCTTTCCAATAGTTGAGGTTAGCATATCGACTGGCAGGTTCTGGCCTGAGAGGACGAACCGTCGCCTCCGAGCCTTCGGAGATGTCATCTGTCCTCTGTGGAGGGGATGGCGGGCGAGATGCATGCCATTCTGAACTCTTTTCATCATCAGAGGGCGGGTGATCTTCTGCAGCAGGGGCTGGCTCGGGTGGGGCTGTTTCAGCGACCTGTGAACGAATACGTGGTTTGGGACGCGGCTTGTTCTGCATTCGACGCGACATTACGCGCGAATATTCAGCGGTCGACTGGTCAGCCTTTGCGGCTGTTCCTGTCTACGCATGAAATGGACATTCAAGATTCTACGATACAGAGCTTTTAAGCAAATCACTTTAGAAACGTTTTAACGTTGAACATTAACCGGCTTTTTGGGTGTAAATATTAGGTCACTATTGTAATTTTTCGAGTTAACACAACGTAATAATCAATAGATCCATTTGATAAATTTAACTAGCTTGCTGAGTGACTAAGTAACTTTAAACATGACAAGTAAAATGAGTTAAGAAATACCGCAATGGAATGATTCACTAAATATCCACGTGTAACCTAATTTTGTTTGCATTTATGTATTTAATTAATAGCTCTCATAAAAGCAATAATATAGACGGCTAAATATATGTAAATTAAGTTCGTTAAGTTGAGATTATTTAAGTATTAATAAGCAAAAATAAAAACTGAATAGGATAAATTAAATCAATTGCCAAAAATAATAACAGATCTTAAAACAAAACTAATAAGATTCCATCACATACCACACCGCCTGGAGGCTCTTCAGATGCCATTGTAATTCATTGACTTCACGTTACACTTTACAAATTAAAAACCACACCATAAATAATAAATTAATGTGTTTGTTATGGAAGGAGTCGACCGGCTATGTTTTGTGAAGGGGATCGAGTGACCGCTGGCTATTGTGAACGGGGGGTGGCGGAGTGCGTGATTATGGCAGGACCTACATTTGACACGAAATCCTATAGCCATTGCAATTCCATACATTTTAAGATATAAAATGCCTTTAGTGTATTTCTAGCCGTCAGTTTTTATATATTTATATCAATCAATTACAACGCATCAAGTTTTAAATTTTCTCATAAGTAAGTCGAAGTAAAATTTGACAAGTTAATTACTCGCGACGTCATAATTAAAAGTTTAAACTTTATATGAAACTTACAGGACTTTTGTTTGTATGTTAATTTGATTTACAAATTAATATATTTTACTAACACTACCTCATACTAAACTATGACTGATGTGTCAAGTAATAGGTTATTTAGGTACTATTTCTCGTGATGCGTAAGGGGCATAGTGTACGTTTCTGTGTCTTGGTTATAATTTATTTTTAATATTAAATTAGGTAACGGTCTTGAAAGACGGATTCTTCAATCTTAAAGTGATTTGTGTATAATAGACTATAATAAAACTGCCATTATTAATAATAATAGTTATTTAAAAGTAAATATATATTTTTATGCATTTGCAATGGAGGTAATTTTAAACAGTATTTAAAGACAAATGCAAATCTTATTTCACTGAATTTACTTTCAACTAATTTATGTTTCTTAAAGAGCTGTGATGTTTACAATTTTCTTATTAAATCGATGCCATAAAATAGCATATACAATACTACGATCAAGAGAACAGCATGGAATATGTCATACTTTGCATCCCCAGCTGAGAGAAGACACTAAAAAGTTCTTCAAGTACTTTAGAATGTCCGTGGTTTCATTTGATGAATTAGTTAGTATTTAAGCCATAATACAACGGACAGATTCCAAAAGAGAAGTCGAAGTGGGAGTGGCGCGCGGTCGGCAGCAACCGCTTGTAGCGGTCCGTGTATGGTGGGTCCGCCAGCTCTAAGCAGTCGACCGCACGGCGAAACTCGACCGCAGAGCGACTGCTCTGACCGCTCAGAAACTGGTCGTGCGGTCCGTGTATTGCGGATATGCATTTAGTATGGAAATTGCAGATCACCGTGCGGCGACCGCTTAGAGCAGTCGGTATCGACTGCAACATGCGGTCCTTCTATGGCTACACTTAGGTTTGGACTTGGCCTCAGAGAAATTAGCTTTTTGTATTTATCGTACTCATACGTTTAAGAGTTATAATTGTAGATATTTAATCATAGTACATTTTAATGTAGCTTAAAGAGATTGTCCTTTAACATCTCCAAATCTACACTGGAATAAGTGTAGTTTTCATTCGATATTTGTAATATATTTTAGTGAAAATGCTTATAATTGTAAGCATTTTCTAAGTTCAACAAAACGTAAAACACCGGGACAGATCTATATTTTTATACTTATATAAATATACCTCTCAGTATAAATATGAAAGTTGTAATTTTATGCAAGGAAAGTTCAATGTACTCAGTTTTTACAGTGAATTTTCCAAGATATTTATTTTCGTGTCCAGTACAGAAGGTCTTCAACTCTAGTCTACAGGACACGATAATCAATATTCTAATTAGGTTATGGCAATACCTTAAAACTCTGCATAAAGGAATTTCATAAGAATAATAAGAATAAAGAAATATAGAAAGGTCACTAAAATAAATTTAATATATGAATGAAACTTACTAACGGACACACTATATATATGATTATGAAACGGGAATTAAGTTTGGTGGTGATTTATTGTATGGATATGTTTAAATAAAACACTTTATTTGAAGCTGGGTTACAACTTACTTTAATGGTTTAAAATATGAGCTTATAACTAACATAAAATTACGGATAGTGGGGTTGCGACGCTTACAAAAACTTAGCTTATCTAAGGGTTCACAAATCTAAATGACACTTATGTTATTGGACATTATCGGAAACGAGAATGTTATTAACTACTGGGTGGCGCAAAAGTACTGGCACAACACACAACGTGAATTTCGTCGACGATTTCCCCATTTTCAGCTGAACGGCCTGTTCTTGGTCTCCCAGACTTAGGTCTATCCAAAGTTGAGCCAGTTGCTTCAAGGCGTGTGGCAAAGCGTCGCCGGACGGTGGGGAAATCGTCGACGAAATTCACGTTGTGTTTTTATCACTGATGAATTATTCCGTAAGAACATTGAGACGATTATTCCACGTTCTTGGGTAGTAAAACGGTCCATGTTTATTTTCAGTGTATTTTACATTTCTTCACTACACAATTTTCAACAACAGAATGACAGGAAATGTCATATAAAAAAATAAACAAATTTTCTTTAGTGCCAGTACTTTTGCGCCATCCAGTATATGTTGCAGTCTCTCGCTAACCTCGGTTCCTGAAACGTTGACTTAAAACAATAAAATCATCAAATCCCATATAAACGGGTATAAATACGTCGAGATATAGAGAGATATAGCTGTTACAGGTGCAATACACTCCTGAGATTCTGCGTTTAAACTAAGGGCTCATGCCGATCAGTCTAATTGTTTATTTAGATAAACGATTCGATTCAGAATGATTCCCCACGCCAAGATCCATGAATAGATCCTCAATTTTGCCACATTAATTAATTATTTGAAACAATCTATTTTAAGTCAACGCGTATTATTCAGTTACTTAGTTATATGCATGCGTTGGTATTCTGTGACTTCAAATAGCTATGCTAATTGCGTGTTCTTGTATACAATTTCGATGTAGTTCTCTCAATATCCGTAGCGCTGATTTGGCAACCTTGAGTTCACTATTGGGAGTTGCAGGGTACCGATGCTGTATGTGCCTCGTTATCAAGTAATGGTCCGAGGACATTAAAACAATAATATCACTAATGGGGTATACTAATGGGGTACCTAAATAATTTGGGACTTATAATGATTGATTAAATATGAACCACGAACATTTGTGGAATCAGTGTCGCAATACGATTGTATAAATGTGATAGGAGACACGCGAGTGACTGGCAACACTTGGCTGTTTCTTAGTACTATTTAGGCAAAGAAATTTAAAAAGAAAGAGGTTATTGCGTTGAAATTCTAAAAAGCTATGCCTATTTTATGGTAGCACCTGTTGAAAGAATTAAGCTCAAAATCAGGGACACTGACGGGCCAGTGTCTCCTTAATAAACATCCTTTTGTCCTTGGCGCGACAGACAGTGCCTTGTGCAGAAGTTGTTTCATCAGTCACCCACGTAGTCCTGGAATACGTGGCTTCACGGGAACTGTAGGTTCTCGGAGCACTCGCAGCAGGTCACTCCCTGAAGCCTGTGAAGTATCTGGGAAACTTCTGAGGTTCTGGAAAGAGGTTGGCTGGTTTAAAACCCAGGACTTTACCACAATGGACCAAATGGGCGTCTTAGTGCGAAAACTTAGTTCACACTACATAGGTATATACATAGTTGGGTTAACTTAAAGCGTACGTGGAACTTTAAAGCACTCATACACTTAGATATTCACAAATATCTAACATATTCTTCTTCTTTTAATAACAGTATCTTAATAATAATAATAATAAACCAGTGGCGATACAACCCTAAATGGATCTTGGTTTCAAGTTGCATCCGTTTCTTTGATAATTTTTATTTCAGGCCTAGGCCTTTTGTTTGACAGATGTCAAAAAAATTTTTTAATGTTTTTTATTTTAGATAATCGGTGTAGATATTATTCTATCGCATTAGTAGTAACAGTAGAATAATGATGTGGAAATAAATAAAAAGGATTTTTGTTTTTAAATATGCCGGTTGACTCAAGATGTTTTCCTTCACAATACGAGCGAATGTTAGATGCGCGTAGATAGGAAGTCCATTGGTGCACGGCCGGGGATCAAACCTCAGGAATGTGAGTCGCACGTCCAAACCACTAGACCAACACTGCTATTATTATAATGGTATCCATATTTATTTATTTATTTATTTATACTTTATTCCCTTAATCAAAAACATACACAACAAAAATAAAAAGCAGTTTACAAAAGTTATAAGGCAACGGGCGGCCTTATCGCTAACAAGCGATTTCTTCCAGGCAACCCTATTGTGAAGTTATGTAAACAATTCCATTAATTTGCAAGTAAAAGAAGCATTACATTCCATGTGTAGCCAAGAAAATAAGTCAGGACCGTAGCAATCCGTAGGACAGTGGAGATCCGTGGGGTGATAATATAAATAAATAAAAATATTTTCTTTAAAGAAGTTTTATTTTAATGTGTAGTACACGTGTACACGACAATAAAGTAATTGTTGTAAACACCATAGGTAACAGTTTCTTTCCGAAATTCCTAACTTTCCAACGATAGAAACGTTGCTATCATCATTTGTTGTAACATAAACACAGGAAATACCTAATTTGAAATTCCAAATTCGCATTTAACTACCACAAGCACACTAAACAACAATTACATGTTATTTTCAGTCATTAAATAGTTTGGAAAATATTTCATAGTCGACGTGTAACCTTTTTGCCAGTGTAACGTAAATTACTTAACGAATTACCATAAATTATAAAACTCATTATAGGTAGGTATACCTATATAACATTTGAAACAGAGTTGGCCATTCTATTTACCCACTTCTATTTCCGAGGATTTTGTTTGATGTTTCGTGTAAATACATCGCAATATGACGCAGACGACTAACTACTAGACGAATACCTTTTCATGAAACCGTAGAAATGTGACTGCACTACGGCCCACCGAGTTCTAAGCGACTGTACTATAATATATTCTAGTAAAAAGCTATAAACGTTCTTTTTTTAAGTGTTTCTATCACACTGAAGACTATACATATACCTCCATTAAATTATTCCTCGTATACTTTACGTTATATCTTTTTCATATATATTTTAATGATAACAGACCGGCTCTTTTATGAGAA